ACTTCCCACTGTCACAGTCCATCACAGGCGTGATTAATGTCACTGAGATGTGGGGCTCAGTCCGTGATGCCACCCATATGCCACACACACACACTACTTGTGTCATATATATCTCTGTTTCACAGGCATTTTAACAGACACCTCATGGAAAAGTAGTTAGAATTGGTTAATACAGTTAATACAAAATTGATACACTACTGTTTTTGAAAGAAATCAATGCTTTTATTCAGCAAGGTTGCATTCAAGTGATCAAACGTGATGGTAAAGACATTTATAATGTTACAAAAGATTTCTATTTCAAGCCTGGGGTTACTTTTTTCATTTAACATAATTAGACTTTGCTGTATCGCATTAAGCCTGCAGTGTGCAAAGGGCCGCAGACTGAGCCACCGACTGCCACTGCATAGAAAGACAGCGCTCTCGTATTCTGAAATGTCATCATTACAAACCCTTCAGCTCATGCTATGAGTGGTTTATTGTTAAAGCAGTTCTGTGAGACTGTATTTATTGATTAAAATAAAAGCGGAGGGTGTTTTTACGTCCAGAATTGTCAGAACTAGGGTTGTTTCTGGCTTGCATGTTTTTTTCCCCCTTTTATTTCTCTCCACTCTGTGGCGAGAACATGTCAAACAGTGTGTTTAACGGAGACCGTTGTGAGACCGTGTGCTGTAGCCATCCGTTAGCGACTGATTTACACAGCTCTGCTGTCTATGTGTGTGTGTTTGTCACCTCGATAGCAGTTATTTCAATACGAAGTGAGCGAGAGCCGTCCAATCGTGCCTCTGCCTCTGACTCATAACTGCTGGAGTGGATATGGCAGCAATCAACATAATTAAAATAATAACACTAACAAGCTTTCTGAGTCGATCGTTTCCTGCGTGTAAAGATCCGTGCCTTTGCGAGAGCATGCGGGAATGCTGTCTCTCTCCCTCACCCCATCAGAAACATGATGCCTGGCTGTGTAACTGAGCTGATGGGGTAATGGAGAGAAGCTCATGATGCAATACGTGTGTGTTTAAGTGTGATACTGTTTTTTTTTCTCTTGCTCCCCCGCAAATGTGTCATTTTGTAATTCTGTCTTCCTATGCGAAGGTGATTATTTATGTTTGCGTGTGCTTGTGCATTTCATGCAGTGCAGACACAGGATTTGGGCCCAGACTGTTGATGAATCCTACTGTGTAACATGCTATATTTAATATAAAAATATTATATTTGTAATTTTTAATTTATTTAATTGTTTTATTATATTTTTTGTAGTGCAATACAATAATAGTAATAAGTATAAATGGAAAAAAATATATAAATTATATAAATTATATATATATATATATATACATACACATATATATATACATACATATATATACATACATAATTTACATACATATATATATACACATACATACATATATATATACATACATATATATATATATGCCAATTTGCCAGTTCAAGTTAACACTTTTTACAGTTTTGTTCTTATTATTTCCAGTTAGTAATTTTAGTGCTTAGTTGTAGTAGTTAACTTAAACTTTCAGTTTCTCTCTTTTCCACGTATTTTTTTTCTCTTTTTTTAAAAAATTAAAATATAAAGTTTATTAAAGTTTTCATATTTATATTTTATTTTAACTTTTTCAATAAAAAAAAAAAGAAAAAAGTTTTCACTAATCCTGAATGCCAGTTTTTTGTATAATTATCTAAATTTGACCCTAAAATCTTGATGTTTTGATTTTAAAAAATGTGTTAATGGACAAGTAATGTTTTTGACATAATATAATATAATTATATAGTATATAGTATAATTCTAATCTTTAAAGCTCCGATTTTACTTATTTTGTATGCTTTTTTCTTATTGCATTTAGAGGGCATCTGTCAGACTTAGCAGCGCCCTGACCAGTCAGACTGCTAAAGATCTTCACTGCAAATCAATTACTACAGATGAAGAAGATCATATTTCCCATTTAAGTTGAAGTCATCCGCTTTAAAAGTGCTCCTCCCTGAACCCCCCTCCCACAGCCTCTTCTGTGAAAGCTGTTTTTGCCTTCAGTGTAGTAACCTCAACTTCACGAATGAGATTTCACCAGGCTCAGATACAAATGAAGCATTAAGCCCTGGTAATAGTACTGGGGAGGGGTCAGGCTTTAATAATGTCCTATCAGGGGAATATCTCAACGATCTGAGACAGAGAGCAGGCCGCTTTCCAAAACACTGGCTCCCCACCCCGAGCTCAGCAAATGAACAAATATTTATGTATGAGCATATTTTTGAGATTCAAAGGCATTTCAGCCCACCTCATCAGAGTAACGAGTAAATAATGAACAGACTTAACAATGACAGCTGCAATTTATGTATGTGAACATTACACGCTTTTTAATTTAATGATTTAAGGATAAATATTACGAGGCACTTGTTTTGACTTGAAGGTGATGTCATTCTTTTATTAATTATTTGAAAAAAAAAAAAAAAGTTTTCCTGTCCCAGCTTAATATGCAGAAACGTACATGCAGTACACTGCCATGTGTAAGTTTGGGGTTGGTAAGATGTTTTAGTAATTTTTAAAAAGTCAGTTATTCTTAAATAGGCTGCATTTATTTGATCAAAAATAAAGTAAACACACACACACACACACACACACACAGGAATATTGCGAAATATTATTACAATTTAAAATAACTGTTTCTATGTTAATGTATTTTAAGATGCTACTTATTCCATTGATGCAAATCTGAATTTTCAGCAGCCGTTACTCCAGTCTTCAGTGCTCAAGAAACATTTCTGATTATTATTAATGTTGAATACAGTTGTGCGGCTTAATATTTTTGTGGAAAACATATATTTTTTCAGTATTGAAAAAGTAAAAATAAATAAATAAATAAATAAATAAAAAACGCATTTATTTGAAATAGAAATATTTGTAACATTATAAATGTATTTACTGTCACATTTGATCAATTTTATGCATCTTTGCTGAATAAAGGAATTTATAAAAATTACTGGCCCCAAGCTTTTGAATGGTAGTGTATGTAAGCCATTTGTAAGTTGATTTAATTTCTACAAAAAAAAAAAAAAAAAAAAAAAAACAGAAATAAACCAACAGCGCAACATTGACTCAACCAATAGCGTGCATTTGGGGCAGGATCTGTTTGGCAACCAATGGCAGATGTGTTCGAGACTCTTTCAAACCTGTTTGAAAGAGTCATTTTTGGTGATGCTTGTGGTGCAACATCACCTTTAAATACATAAATATTTATTTATAATTAGATTATTCTTTTAAAATTATATTGTATTATTTAATTATTATAATTATATTATGTTTAAATCATTTAATTTAATGAATATAAATGAAAGTATTCCTTTGTTAAATTGTAATGTGGTAAAATAAAGTGTCAGATTAAGTGCTTGACATCGGTTTCTGCTTGAGGAAATGGATGCATGCATTGCCACCCTATTAAAAATAGACCACCTGCATTTTAATCTTCCGTCCTTTACTTCAGGCCTTCATCTCTCTCTGAGGCCCATGTGTCCACTGATCCAGGCATGGAAAGATGATCACCGTTTGCGTCAGTGGACCAGGGCTGACGGTTTGATTGATAGGTGGACGTGCAGGGTTGGCGTGGAGGTGCGGGCCTCCTCCTTTTCGGGCTGCGCACAGCTCCTCAGTCTCTGTCAGTCCGTCGTTTGCCACGCATTCTAATCGATGCTCAAGTGCGAGAGTCAGGATGGAGGCTTCTATCGGCTACCCAGTAGCGATTGGTAGCCGCAAAAGCAGACGGTGCCTTCTGGGGTCCCCCGCTCTGTGCCAGATTCCAATTGTTGAGGTGGTAGAGCAGAGAGGGGCAGACAATAGAGTTCATGGCATGAGAAAACAAGCCAAATATCTCTCTTCTAACACCTCTCAGTTATTTCCTGTTATCTCTCTTTGCAACAGCTCTAATTTCCTGTTTGTGTTTCCTGTAGTCTTTATCGTTTTACATATTTTATTTGGAATTACTATACACTCTTCGTATTCCCATGTAGATTCCAATGTTGTGATTCACATGCAGAACTTATAAAATTAGATACTGCGGTGACTTTTCAATGTTATGAATTTATATGCAATGTGATATTATTTGTGAAGGTTCATGTGAAACTGCCATTTCATCTTTCTGCAAGCTCATATTTTGAATGATTATTAGGGTTACAGTACATTAATCTCTCTGTCTCTGTCTCTTTCTCTCCGTCTCTCTCGTAGTGGTGTGGGTTTGGCAAGAGCCCATTATGAGAAACAGCCTCCCTCGAACCTGCGCAAGTCAAACTTCTTCCACTTCGTTCTGGCCCTGTATGACCGGCAGGGACAGCCCGTCGAGATTGAGAGAACCTCCTATGTGGAATTTGTGGAAAAAGACAAAGTAAGCACTCTGTCACTAATAGATGCTGCTACACAACGCAACAGGATTTGTAATATGCTGGGGTGTTGCATATTGAACTAGGAGAACATGCTAAGAATGTACTGTGCAATGGTATAATAACTTTTTAGATGTATTTTTGGTAAATAAAAAAGTTTACCAGACCCTCTGCAACAATGTTTAATGTTTATATATATATAAACATTTATATCTCTTATATTAGCAATATATTTTAGCAATATATCTGAATGTAGTTTTTTAGGTTAAAAAAAATGTAAGTAAAAAAATAAAGTTAATACCTCTTTTTGATCATACACACATACATTATTTGAAAAACTACATCAAATATTTCCTAAAAAATCCCCCAAACCCTCTGAACCCCTCTGAGTTTTTAATATATGTGTGTGTGCGTTTTTCTTTACTTTCTTTTTCTTTTTTTTATTTAATCAATAAATAAAAAAATGTATTTGGTGAGAAATATTGGTAAGATATTCTATATTTTAAATCTATTCTATACTACATTATATCTTCTCTTTCTTTATGCAGTTGCATTGGGTATCAAACTCACATTATCACACAGCATTGTGATTCTCAGTACCAAATAATACGTCTAGGGGGCACCGATGAGACCACTTTTTGTCATAAGAATTGCATGAACAATATTAAATGTAATGTTCTTTTTTTAATTAGAATTTATTATAAAATATCCAGCTTTTCTAACAGAGGATTGTTGATTGGCTTTTTTTTTTTTTTGGATTTTTGCTCCATGTTATTTTATTTTTTGCTAATCGTTTGAGTGTGATTCTCAGGATCAGCATCATGGGAATAAATCTCACTCTTTCCCAAAGCATCTACTATTCTACTCTAAATATCTGCCTTTTCAAGGTCCCGCAAACTCCATTCTGGAGTGTAGTCGTGTGTTTGTACCTGATAGCCCTGCGGTGTGTTTCGGAGGGTAGTCCTGCTCACCCTGTGTTGTGTGTGTCGGGGGGTTGTTCTCAGTAAAAGGTTATAGAGAACAGCTCCGCCCACGAGTCATACGGGACGGGGTCCAGCTGGCACGGTCAGTGCTCTGTCCTCGCTGTCCGCTCACCTCCGCCATAACCCCCGCCCAGCACCACCCCCCTACACTCCTCCACTCCACCCTGGGTCGCTGCCAAGACACTACCATTAAACTTGGCAGTGAGGAGATAGAGAAAGACTGACATCAAGTGTGGGTGTGTCGTGTTCCTGCGTCTCATTGGATTGATGTCACATTAGGGTAAAATAACTCACCTGAAGCCTGGATGTGATGTTTAAATGTAAACCTCACACTTAGTCCAAAGAGTGAAACCAAACTGTGCTTACATTTGGATGCACTGCAGTTATTTTGCTGGAATTATTAGAAAGTGAATTTAAACTGAATAAAAAGTGAAAATGTGAACTTTCACATTTTTAAATATTAAAATTTTTATTGGTTTCATAAAAGCACTCCTTTGGTAACTATATAGATATTTACATCACTGTTCGAAAGTTAGGGGTCAGTAAGATTTTTATTTTTTTTTGGAAGGGAATTAATACTTTTTTTCAGCAAGGATGCATTAAATTGATCAAAAGTGACAGTAAAGACTGTCAGTTGAAGGATTTCTAATCCAAATAAATTACGTTTTTTTGAACTTTCTGTGTATCAAAGAATCCTAAAAAATGTAACATGGTTTCCACAAATAAATTTAGCAGCACATTTTAACATTGATAATAATAAGAATTGTTTCATGAGCAGCAAATCAGTGTATTAGAATGACTTCTGAAGGATTATGTGACACTGAAGACTAGAGTAATGATGCTGAAAATTCAGCTTTGATCACAGAAATAAATTGCATTTTAAAATATTTTATGAAAGAAAACAGCTGTTTTAAATTGTAATAAAAATTAACAATATTGCTGTATTACTGTACAATTTTATTGTATTTTAGATCAAATAAATGCAGACTTGGTGGGCATTAGAGACTTCTTTTAAAAACATTAAAAATGATTACCGACCCCAAACTGATGACCGGTGTAAAGATGTATAGAACAAGTATATAGAAAAATGGGTAATCAAACCCAAATAAATAAAACATATAGTTGTGAATGTCTTTAGTTGTAGTTTTTGCTAATTATTGTCATTGTAGCCAGGCCATTGGTTCCATAATTAGCAGAGTCATTACCAGCAGTAAGTCACAATTCAGATCTGAAGGTCAACATGCTGAGATTACCTGTCTTGATGGTCAATGTTTTAATAGATGACAATTTCTTTTCATACAATTTTCATCAATTGTTCTACTTGCTTGTGCATTCTTTTAGGAATACAATGGCGAGAAGACCAACAATGGCATCCACTACAGGTTACAGCTTCTCTACAGCAACGGTGAGACCCATACTGCCCCTGCAAACCCTTTCCATATCCCATCAATAACAAAGACATATTGCAAGGCAGAGCGGGGCCAACTGTTAACGATATGTAACCACAATCATGCAACTTGTCTCATCACATCTGGGAGAGTATTTGAGAGCTCCATCTGTTTACCCTGAGAGGAGTTCATGCTGTTGAACACATTTGCCACCCTTTCACAGTTTACGCTCATGTCTAATATCATTCCACGCTACTCACCCACACAGACACGTTAAACAAGGCCTCATTTGGGCTCTTAGTTCTTAGTAAAGTACACACAGACTGGCTACATTAAGAGTAGGTGCTATGTTACACTTGTCATTATTAATGATTTAAATTGTTTATATATAAATTGTTTAGAAATTGTTAAATTGTTTATATATAAATATATATGTATACACACACACACACACACACACACACACACACACACACACACACAACCATTTAAAAGTTTGCGTATGAATTATTTTTTAAATAAATTATTAAATTAAATTAATAGCAATGATCCAATAAATTGATCAAGTGTGACTGAAGACATTTAGACATTTTACAATGTTAGACATTTTACATATTACAGTATTTTTTTAATATTGATAATGAGCAGCAAATCAGCATATTAGAATTATTTCTGAAGGATAATGCGACACTGAAGCCTGGAGTAATGATGCTGAATATTCAGCTTTGCCATCACAGTAAGTTACACATTAAAATATATTAAAATAGAAAATATAAAACATTTAAAATTGTAAAAATTTTTCACAATATTACGAATCAAATAAATACAGCCTTACTTATATTATATACAGTACATTTAGCATAAAAAATGCTCCATAATAAAATGTATGTTTTTAAGCGCAAGTTATTAGCCTATAAAGCTGTCATGATAACACTTTCATTAATAACGATATTAAACATTGTTAAATTATTCAATGGTGAACAGATCTTTAAAAAAATTCAAATTGTATGGTCATTTACTTGCCCTCATTCTGATCCACAACCAGTATGACTTTTTCTTCTGTTGACTACTAAAGAAGAAATGCTGGTTGCTTTTTGTTCCATTACAAATAATGACCTTTCCTTACCTAAAGCCTGCGTTTGGTCCAGGCTCGGTTGCAGAATCACGTCTGTGCTTCTGAAATTATTATGTTTTTCTATATAGTGTAGTAGTTAGCTATCTCTGTGTTGTACGTGGCCGCTTGTCAAGCATGAAAAACACAAGTTTTATTTAAATTCTGAATATATTATCGTATACAGCATGCAAAGAGTGCTCCCTTTAAATTTATTAAAAAACAAATGAACGTGACTACACGATGAAACTTTTTTAATGTCTTTGTTAGAAAGAAGTTACAAGCATGATAGAACTCAGCACTGGACAAAAAACGGTGACTGGAGCGGTGAGTGCATGGATTCCAACCTAAACACCTCTGATTGGCCACTGCGTTTTAGAAATCAACAAACATGTCTGTGATTGGCTACATTGCTCACCTCTGAGAAAATGCATTGTAAAATCATTTGACGCTTTCCAAAGCAGAAGGGCAGATACACTGGATTGTCTGCCAAATCTATTTCGTTATGCTATTATTACGAAGAAAACAGATCCTAGACCAGGGGTTATTTTCTAGACCTCTGGCGCCGGGCCTGTTTAATGTCTTCTGAATTCATAACTTTGTGTGAGGCAGGACGCCATTAATGAGAGATGTAGCGATATCCAATTCACAAACAAATCATTCTTTTGTGTGGGATTCTTTCAATGAATCAGTTCATCCTGTTCACAAAACCAGACTGATTTGTTCATGAATTTGACTGATGCATTCAATTAGGGTTTGGAACGACATGAGGGTGAATAAATGAAGTGAGCTATTCCTTTAACATACATTTAAATAGTTACAAATGCCACCTTGAAAATTAAAAATTAAAATGTAAGTTTTCATAAAGTGTGGCTCAACATGTATGGTATATGAAGAGTTGGAACCAAAGTCTCAGTACAATACTGTTCTCTTCTCCTGCTCTAATGATTACAGCTAGTGGTGAATGATTTGTCTGTAGATGTGGATTCTCTGTCATCCACCAGACAGCAGGGCAGGAGAAAAGTGAACTCTCACACTTTAAGAAGGGAAAATCATAAATAATAGAAAAACTCAGAAGCTGAGCCAAGTTTGTTTTTGCTAAGAAGCGTTAACGGAATAGCCCAGTCAGCATGACAAGCATAACAGAATGCGCATAAACGTTCTG